CCCCCCCCCCGGCCCGCTCATATCGCGTTGGTTTCTCCTGTAGGTCACGTCGACATGGTCACCGAGAAAAACTCGGGGTCTTCCCACGACTTTCTCAAGGACCCCATCCGTCTGTTGGTAGAAGGCGATTGGCTGACGGCCGATGGGACAACTCTCGGGGCGGACAACGGGATTGGCGTCAGCGCGGCTCTCGCTCTTTTGGACAGTGAGGCTGAGCCGCCACCCGTGCCCTCTCAAACGTTCGAGAGTTTGGGATGCCTGGCCTGTCCTGGCCGACCTCTTTTTCTTAATTATTTTTCCTTTCACAACCCCCCACCCCCCACTTGAATGAGATACGACGCTGGACCAAAAGACGACAGCTTGTATGCATAATTCAGTTTTTTTCGAAAGCGACCAGAAGATACTTAGCCGAGACCGTCAGATTTTTTATGTGGAGACAACAACAACAACAACAACAACAGCAGCAGCAGCAGCAGCAGCAGCAGCAGCAGCAGCAGCAACGGAAAGGACTCAGCTACTCTCCGCCCCGGCCTGTAGCTCTAGCTCAACGTTGCTTCACTAGTACACTCCCGCTGATGTTTGACAATACACTCGTCCTTCACCACGGCGACAGTGCCTCTCTCGCTGATATTGTGACATACACGCTCAACGGTCGCTACGATGACATTGCGTCTCTTTGGTGCTTTGACATGCAGTCGTCCTTCACAACAACGACGTTGCTTCTCTCTCTGGAATGGCGGACATATACACTCGTCCTTCACCACTGAGATGTTGCCTTTCTCTCTGATATTTTGGCATACTATACACTCAACGGTCTCTACGATGGCATTGCGTTTCCTTGATACTTTGGCATGCAGTCGTCGTTCATACACTCGTCGTTCTCCACGACGGCAAAGCGCTCCCAACTCCGGTGCCCCGTCCCCGCTCCCAGTGCCGGTGTCCTCGGGAGCGCGGCTTCCTCCCCTCGAGTGTCTCTTCACGGTCGAGGAAGAGATCGGATTGGTCGGTGCGTTCGAGCTTGACGGGAGCCTGGTGAAGGGGCGAACGATGCTCAACCTCGTGAGTTGAAGAAGGAGTAGGAAGGAGTGTGTTGGTGGAGGTGTTTGTGGTAAAACCGTTAGATATTTGCTACGCCCGTCAAGTTACCCGAGTGTTGCATTCGAGGGTCCCTCCCGGAGAAAACAGGTTTGTTCACACGTTGTGTTCGGCTCCGAGGGGGTTACGGTCTAGCCTGCGGCGGTCAGGCCTCGCCTTGGTTGGCAGATTCGCCGCCAGTCCCTTTGCTTGGTGCATGACCTCATGATCCACAGCCAGCTCCTTTGCTTAGGATGTGACATCCAAAAATCACAGGGACCTAATAAATCATCACAGCCGAGTCCGAAACTGTTTCGAGTCCACGCCGCCTTGTCAGTAGCGGCTGGCTCCACCCAACGTACTTGTACAAGAACGGTGTTCTCGAATGTCCGAACTCCTTCTTCCGGAGTGTGTGTGTAACTGAACGTGCGTCCGAACGTGTTGATCGTTTTTCCCGGCCGTGGTATTGGCGGCGGCGGCGGCGACAAAATCAGGATACCGTGAAGTGGGGATCTCTGTTTGTTGGGTGCGCGGGGGGCGGGGATTCGCTGATCACGCTGCCCGTGGAACAAGAGGCCGTCGATCCCGCTTCTTACGAGTCGTTCAGGCGAGTAAAAAACATATCACCAGAAGCCAGCAGATTTGACTTGGCTTTTTTTTTTGTTTATGCTGTTGCAAGCCAGCGCTCGAAAGCGTTGTGGTTGAGCCTCTGCCGCTCTTGTGTCTTTTTTGTTGGTCTTTCGTGTGTTCATGCGTCCCATTCTGGACTTCCTCTTCCCCTGTAAACACTACCACCCCCAATGCTGGACGTTCGTCCCCACCGCTGCTGTCGTGATGGATGCTGGTTTCGGTGCTCTAGCGTCGCCGTGGAGGGACTGATGGGGGGGCATTCGGGCATCAACATTCAGGAGGTGAGCTGTGATGTACCCAGTCCGTACGTTATGCATGAGGCGAGCGCTGGTGTCCCGGGGATCAACAGAAGGAAGCCGAGCAGTGCTTCATGCGTGTTTACCAGCGGTCGGCCGTGTTCCGATGCTGCGCAGCGAAACAGACATGCACGGCGCACGGCGCACGCCGCACTTTTACATTCTTTCAGCCGTCACTTTAGTTTTGCTTTAATTTTTTATTTTCCAACTTGGAAGTTTTTTTTCGCTTTTCGGAGAATTTCATTTTTATTCTGGCGTGGGAGCGACGGTGCACCAGACCTGCAGCGACTGTCTGCAAGCGGTTCTCGGCGAACGGCATTAGCGGTCGAGCCGCTCCCACGGACTCCGTCTCGCACCCGTGCCGCTGGGCGAGGAAATCGTGTCCGTTCTCTGGATCCCCCCGACTCGTGATGTATGCCGCACGGAAGAGCGCTAAACAACCTCTAGTTGTGACAAATTTGGGATGGATGCCACACGGGAGAGCGCCAAACAAGTCAGTAGTTCCGACAAATTCGATCGGGATCTCCGTGCTGGCACCGACCTCCCCGGGCTGACTCTCTCTTTTTTTTTGTTTTGGAACGAACTTCTCGAACGAGCTTCTCGAACGAACCTCTCGCGCAGGACCGAGGGAACGGGGTGAAGCTCTTGATCCGAGTCCTTGAGGCTGTATTGGAGGGGGTCCCGTCGCTGCACCTGGTGGACCTGAGGGGGGGGGACAAGCACAACGCGATCCCGAGGGAGGCGTTCGCTACCATTCTGCTCCCCAAAGGTGCCTGCTTGCATGTACAGCTGTCGTAGCTGAGGGGTGCGGAGATGTCACGAGAAACGGCAAAATCGTGTCTAGGTTACAAGTCTCTCATTTCTGCGCCACCGTCGAGTACACGTTAACTTCCGAGTAGGTATGTGAACAGAGAATTAAGCGCAGGATCCTCGGGTGATGTTTTTTTCGTCATCCAACTTTTTTTGTTTTCGTGAGCAATTTGACCCTTTAGCCTAATGTTGAGGGGGGGGTTTCTTGGCTGCGGACCCGCACTATATGCCACCGGCCGGCGGGCCGACCGGCCGATGTATCACGTCGTCGCGGGCATAGGTTTGTCCTCCCGGAAGAGATTTTTTCGGGGGGTTTGGCTCAGTGCCAAGTCGCGCAACCTTGAATTGTACTCCTTTGCCTGCCGGGCAGTATGGACGTGTAATGCGTAGTCACTCAGCGGTGTCTCCCTGTCTTTTTTTTCGCAGGAGACTCCGATGCCCTTAAAGCTGCCGAAGAAATCGCCGGGGCCGTTCTCGGCGACCTGAAGATGGAGTTCGGCACGAAGGAGCCCTCCATGGCCGTGCAAATCCGAAAGGACGCCGACGCGGCGGTGGGCACATGCCTGGGCGCCGGTGCGACGCGGCGGCTGTTGTCGCTGCTGGAGCTGCTGCCTCACGGGGTGGTGAAGATCTCGCACGATGTTGAAGGGCTGGTAAGAAGCTCATTCCAGTTTTGTATTGAGGCGTCCATGTCTTGGAGGTGGGCTGGTATCTGGCTCTGAAACCCTCTTCCCTTGGTGTGTCGTTCCGAAGGGGTTCCGTGAGTGTCATTTCGAAGGGGGGGGGGGGGCCTAGTTTTTTGTTTCGTGGTTGCGCTACATACGGAGCCAATATGAGACGAAACGAACGTACAAGCACTTTGTTGGAAGTGTTCGAATTGAGCATTTCATGACAACGCGCCAACGCGATTCGTCGGCTTGAAGGTGGAGACCTCGAGCAATCTGGCTTCCGTAACGCCTATCGAAGGAGCTCAAGGTGGAGATGCAGGAGGAAACGGCACGTACGAGATCCTGTGCTCCACGAGGTCGTCGCTGAGCCCTCCCCTGGAGGCGGTCCGCCGTCGGATAAAGACGGCGGCGGAGCTCTGCGGCGCCAGCAACGTGCTTCGACGGCAGGCGTACCCGGGCTGGCAGCCAAACCTGCAGTCCAACGTTCTCAAGGTGAAGCACAATGGTCCTATGAAAAGGGGGCGGGGGCGGGGGTTGTTTGAGGGGGGGGGTGACGGATGAATGTCGGTTTGTCCTCTACGTGTGTGAGATCGGACGAGTGTAGGCTTTGCTTTATTTGATATTGGTGTTGAAAGAGGGTGGTATGACCATGAGAGCTCAAAAGAGCTTCGGGAGCTCGTGCTTTTGCGAGATTTGCGCTGCGTATCTATGTTTTCGTGTATCTCGAGCGCCGGCCGCTGTGTCCCACGTGTGTGCGGCTGCGCCAGCGTTGCGTGCGCTTATTCTATTGCATCGACGCGCTAATTATTGCTATACTTCTACTTGTGTGGTAAGAAAGCACCATATGCTTTGTGATTGTGGAATTTCCCTCGGCGGGGGGTGCGCGGAGGAGGTTACGATGCATGTGTGTATCTTGCTTGATCTCGCATCGACCGACTGACCAGTGAAATGACGTCAGTCTTGAAGTGTGTTTGAGTGACCCGAAGAAAGAAATCGAAGGAGCTCTCGAGCAAAATCATGTTCCCGTTCGGAATGTGACGATAGATGTTCAACAGACGCTGCTGTTACAGCAGTGCAACAGAAACAGGCTTCACGGACGCGCGCGAAAAGCGAACCTCGTCGTGCAGACCCGTGTTTGTTACTTCTGGAGGGGGAAGCACCGCTGACTCTTACCCTGCTTCGTTAATTTTTACCGCAGGTTGCGCGGGATGAACTTCGAGTCCTGCTGAACGGCGAAGAACCCGGCATTGAAGCCCTGCACGCAGGCCTGGAATGCGGCGTGATTGGCGACAAGGCCCCCGGGATGGACATTGTGCGGCCAATATAGTTTCCTGTTGTATTTTGCGATCGTCTGAGTGGTTTGCCGAGGATTGCGATGTCTTTTTTTTTCACGTATCGCGACTGCTCTACACACGGTGATAAAAAAAGTAAAAAATTCCCGTACGACAAAGTTGTGGCAATAGCGGAGAGCCTCTTTCGTCGGATCTGATTCTGCGATTCTCTCCTTTTCGAGCGTCCTGTTCTAGATACCTTGGTAGTTCCCGCCAACCCTTCACAGCCTCGTGTTTTTCTCGAGCGTCCGGTTCGAAATACCTTGGAAACTCCCACCAACCCTTGACACCCTCATGTTTTTCTTGATTTTGCCCCGTTCTTTCGTCCCTTGCAGGTGAGCTTCGGACCGACGATCGACGGCGCCCACTCTCCGGACGAGCGGGTGAACATTGCCTCGGTCGGCAAGTTCTGGCAACTGGTTTTGGCCACCTTGGAAGGCCTAGCCACCAAGCAGCAGTAGGGACTAGGGACGAGCCGAGCCTCTCGGCCGTAGGCGGCAACGAGGCAGGCCGTTGACAGCGTTTTTTCTGTGGCATGGCATGCTCACGCCGAGGAGGCTTCTCAAGGAATCCTGGATGCGGTTGATTTTTTTGTTTGCGTACCCCGGGACGTGTGGATCGGTGCTGCTTCTAGCGTGACGATGTCGTTGTCAATCCATCGGGCTTTGGTCTTGGCGGCTGTAGAGATGAAACTGTGATCGACATCAAGGTTGCTGGCTCATTCCCATTGCTAAGGCGCGCTCGGTTGGGGAATACTCGGAGGAAGAATATGAATAGTTCCGGAAATGCGCAAGCGGTTCGCTCCAATTTCGGATGGGCCTCTGATAGCAAGGGGATAGTCTAAGGCTGTTCCCCATTACTGATCGGCTCGCTTAATCTATTGCGCGTACCGTGTTTTAGTTTTGTTCGATTGTTGCTTTGTCGCTGAATCCTGTGATGATGGTGGGTGATCCCTGCGCAGCCTAGCCGGAAAAGCCGGACGAGCGGTCGGCTCTTTGAACATGGAACGGTAATCGAGAAAGGCTCTCTCTCATGGAAAACCGCATGCTGACGCATGCTTTCGCGCAAGGGTTTGGTTTTGCAGACAAGCGAGAGTGAGTTCACGACGAGGCTCCTTCTCAAGACTGACCGTCACTTCTTCCTTGTTTTGTGCAGCATTGTTCTTTGGCCTTTTCGCTGTGTGTTCTCTATCTGATAAAGCAGCGGTGGTTGCGGTTTGCTTGCGAATGGATGGCCAACCGCAACCGGCGTTCGTCAGAGTTTGGATGATTGGTCGTGGGATCGACTTCGTTCTCGTCGCATCTACCGTTGTCTACGCTCGCTTTGCTCGTTAACGTTGGCATCTGATGAATCATGTTCGCCTGTTGTATCTGGTGTAAGGCGCTCACGAGGGAGTCCCCCCCCCTCCGCTCGAGAAGAACACAACGAACGGTGCCGTTGGTTTTTTACTCTAATTGCCCACCTGTCATTAAAGTCTAATGCTGAATGCATGATGATGCGTGGCACGTACTCTTCATCCGTACAAAATGCAGACTTTGAATCTCCTCGCGGGGAAGTATTTTCGCGCGCTGCCCAAAATATGTCTGACCTATTTTATCGTCTTGTACCGGAAACGCGCCCGCCGATGTTTGGGCGTGGTTGTAGAGCAACAGCGACATCAACGAACAGGGACCATTGGTCTTTCAATGTCTCGAAACGTACACGAACTTCTTGGACGTTTCTATTGGCGATTTGTCGCAATACGTACGCATAGTCTAAATCTGTCGAAACGACGTTCTCATTCTTTTTTGCAGTAGTAGCCACCCCAGAGATCGAGATAATGTTTGGGTTTTTGTAGCAAGAGTGACAGACATGGTTTCAGTGATCTTCCTTGTCGCCAATCAGCAAAAATATGTTTGGGGCGGCACGTATCGTCGGATGGATGGATCGATCCGATCCGTCCAATTCAAGAGGCAACAGAACACATGTTGCTATTAGGAAAGAGCCCACTATTGATTGTCCTATTGGGTGCTTGCTCACAATGCTAATGCATAGCATGTCTCTAGTGTACAAGCCGTGTCAGATGAAGAGAAGGAATCTTGCCTCTCGTCGCAAACCATGGCCACTGCACGCTTTTTTGGCTTGACTTCAACAACGGGTGGGAGGGGAGGCCCTCTCAATAGGAATGTCTAGGGGGATCAATTTCAGGGGCACCGCAGTTCAACTGTTTGACAAGTTGGACACGCTCTCTGTCGCGTGTTCAATTTCGTCGGGGGTTAGCCGGCCACCGTGCCCCGTCGAAGGCCCCGACTGCGGGATCGCCCGAGCGAAGTCGTTGGCGGCCTGCCGGCAAGTCTGTCGGTGGGCACGCGAGACCTATTGCACCCGCAAGACCAGCGGGAACTTGCTTCCTTTCGTGGCGCGCGCCAAAAAAAAAATTCAAAAACTGTTTGGTGAGTTTCACCTCCCTGGCAGGGTCTCTCTATGCGGAATGATGCTGTTGCAGGTGAGGGAGCGCCGCTGCCAGTGCCGCCATGCATCGACGACTTCGACGTCGGCCAGGAGCTCGGAAAGGGTGGCTTTGCCGTCGTGTATCGGGCCCGGGTGCGGTCGACCGGACTAGAAGTCGCTCTCAAGGTCGTGGACAAGCACCGAGCCGCGGAGCACCTCCGCGGCACCGCAACGAGTGCCGGCGGCGGCGGCGGGGACAGGGAAGGAGGGCTTGGTGGGGGCTTGGAGCTAGCGTGTGCCCGGGTGGCGAACGAGGTGCGCCTACACTGGGGACTGAGGCACCCGGCAGTCGTAGAGCTGCTCGAGTTCTTTGAGGACGAGCGGTTCGTCTACCTGGTGCTGGAGCTGTGCGGGGGCGGTGACATGTACCGCAGGCTGCGGGGCGCCGGCAGCAGTGGCAGTAGCGGCAGTAGAGGGCCGCTCGATGAGAGAGAGGCGGCCGGCTACATGGGCCAGTTGCTGGCGGGGTTGCAGTATCTCCACGAGAGCGGGATCATGCACCGGGACCTGAAGCTGTCGAACTTGCTGCTTTCGGAGGACGGCAGGCGGCTGAGGATTGCCGACTTCGGTCTGGCCGTCAAGCTCGAGTGAGTGTTTATTGCTCGGCGGCGTGGGCACGGCCGGTAATAACGGCAAAGGGGTTGCGTTGTATTGCACTGTATTGGTGCGTGCCCGGTGTTGTTGTTGGATGCAATACGCCGTTTAGCGGCTGGCTGTTTGGTCTGCGTCTTACCGCCGTTTTGGATTTTTTTGCTCACAAAAAAAGAACGAAAACGACCAACCGTTGTGCCCGGTGTTGTTGTTGGATGCAATACGCCGTTTAGCGGCTGGCTGTTTGGTCTGCGTCTTACCGCCGTTTTGGATTTTTTTGCTCACAAAAAAAGAACGAAAACGACCAACCGTTGTGCCCGGTGTTGTTGTTGGATGCAATACGCCGTTTAGCGGCTGGCTGTTTGGTCTGCGTCTTACCGCCGTTTTGGATTTTTTTGCTCACAAAAAAAGAACGAAAACGACCAACCGTTGTGCCCGGTGTTGTTGTTGGATGCAATACGCCGTTTAGCGGCTGGCTGTTAGGTCTGCGTCTTACCGCCGTTTTGGATTTTGTTGCTCACAAAAAAAGAACGAAAACGACCAACCGTTGTTGTTTTTCTCGTCTAAATTCCCAGGAGTGATAACAGTGTAGTGCTTCAGATTCGTATACTGCTAACACGTCCACTCCCGCCAAATACATGCTCTACAGCAGCAGCAACAGCAGCAGCAGCAACAGCAACAACAACAGCCCGATCTGGATTTGTGTGCCTCGCTAGTTTCGCCCCCTACAAACGGACGGTATGGTTCTGTAGATGGGGGACGAGCATGCTCGAATTTATTTTCAATCCGCCATCCTCGTGGATGACGTGCGACGGGCCCAAACAGCAGCAACGCGCCAAAAGCACGTATGTCCCCGGCCCCGTTTTCCCTCCCCGATGCAAGAAACACCAACGAGAACACAGTCGTTTGACCTATATTGTTCCTGGATACCTCCCCTTTCTGACGAGCCTCCGCCCCGGCTGTTCGGTCGTTCCCGCGCCGCGCAGAGCGGAGGACAGCGAAAGACACACGCTCTGCGGCACGCCGAACACGATGGCCCCGGAGGTGCAGGGCCCGGTGTACGGGGCGTCGGCAGCGGGGCAGCAGCCGGGGGGTTACGGGCTGGCGGCAGATCTGTGGTCCGCGGGGTGCCTCTTGTACACCATGCTAACTGGGAGGGCGCCGTTCCAGGGGAGGAGGGTAGGGGACACGCTGGCGAACGCGAGGTCCGGGCGTTACGCGGTGCCGGAAGGGCTGTCGGACACCGCGAGAGACTTCTTGGCCTCCATGCTGAGCTTGGTGAGGGGTTAGGGGTTGGCGGAGTCGAATATCCTGTGGGTGGGCGGGACGGCGGAAGAGGCAAAGGAGCGGGGAAGGCGTAAGACGATTGACGACGCAGAGGGGAAGCAGGGAGAGGGGGGGGTCGGTTGAAGGAAAGACGGGACTAAGCATTGAAGTGGGTGTATAGTCGTAGATGCTGGTAAGAAGACATTGTGTGGGAATCCGGAAGTGCTACCTACGTCCTCATTTCACGTACCGATCGCCGACTTTCGGCGTGATGATACTCCGACCGATCATAGGCAGTTGACAGCCAAAACAATGCTTGTCCTACCTTCGGCTCCGATGCTCCAAAATCCAGCGTAACCGGCCCGACGGCCTTGAGCGATTTTCTGTGCCATCATGGCGACCCTTCCCGTTGCGCGCTCTCCCTGATCTCGCTACCAGGACCCGCGCCGCAGGATGCGAGTGGAAGAGGCTGCCGCACATCCGTTTCTGCGCTTGGACAAGCAGCGGCCTCAACGCAGCCCCGCCGCCGCAACGACAGCAGCACCGGAACGAGGAAGCAACAGCACTCCCAAAGGTACCATCGCCGAAGGTACTCACAAAGAGGCGGTGGGGGGAGGAGCGACAGCCTGCGGGGGTGCTGGGAGGCGAGCCGTAACGTCGAACGACGACGGAGGAGAATACCACTCTTCTTATTCTTCCAGAGGAAGATTGGACTACAAAGCCGGGCCATCGCCGTCGTTTGGCGAGGAGGGCAGCAGCAACAGCAGCAGCAGCAGCAGCAGCAGTCGCAGCAGCGGCAAAGGCAGGCTAACCAAAGGAGCTGCTGTCGACGCCGCTGCCGCCGCCGCAGCGACCGTAGCGGGCAACAGCACCCTCACGGAGTCCACGGCGGGGCTCGGGTCCTCCGACCTCTACTCCGTCAGCTCCAGCTTCTTGGACGGGGATTACAACACGGCCTCCTTTGCGACCCTCAGGGCAGAGACCGTGCCCACCCCGGCGACCATCGGCGCCGGAGCCGCTGCGGCCGCCGCCCGCGTCCGACGCGCCACCGCTCAAGCCCGGTTCCGAGCCTCGGCAGACGGGGGCGTCGCGCTCGACGGCAGGGCAGCAGAGGCCGGGGGAAGGGACGGGATCCGCGACGATGGCGGCGGTGGCGGCCGCGGTGGTAGGAGAGCGAGAAATGCGTGGCCAACCGCGCGACCATTGGTCGAGGTAGCGGGCGGAGGCGAGCGGACGGCTGGGCCAGGCGGAAACGGAGCTGGCACCGCGGAGAGGAGGGGTGGCATCAGCGCGGGAAGGAAGAGTACGGCGGGAGAGCGATCCTCTGCTGGTGCAAGGCTGGAGTCGAAGGAGCGGTTCGGGTGGAAGGGTGCTGCGGGCGGCGTCACGGCCGCCGCCACGACGAGCCTGCACGCGGGGGGCGAGGGGCGCGGGGGGTACGCAGACGAGAATGTGGTGGTGGCTAGAGGTGTTGGCTCTGCAAAGGCGGTTGGCCTCGGCAAGGATTTGGAGCACGAGCGGCAGCAACGGCGGCGACAGCAGCAGCAGCAGCAGCAGCAGCAGCAGCAGCAGCAGCGGCATCCCCGGCGGCGGAGCCGAAGGCCTCGGCCCACCCGAGAATCGTCGCCTCACAAGCAACGGCAGCGAAACAGCATACCGGCAAGCGGCATCACCAGGCCGGGGGAGCGACAGTTCGATCTAGCAGGCTACAGCAGCAGCAGCAGCGGCTCGAGCAACAGCTCCCCGCCGTGCGTCCCCGCAGCCAGCCCGTTGGCTCGCCGTCGGCGACAGCGGCAGGGAGACAGAGGCGTCGCAAGGCCTCCAGCACCGCTCCCTCCTCAGCCGCTGCCGATGCTCGAGCAGGAGCACCTGGCAAGCTTGCCTCAGTCACAAGGGCTTCACGGGCTTCGTGCCACGGCCGCAGCTGGGCGAGACCTCCACGAGAATATGTCCATCGGCAAGGGCAGTGACGGCGGCGGCGGCGGCGGCGGCTACTGCTTGGGGTCGACAGCGGCGGCGGTTGGCGACTCCGTTTCCGCGTCCAGATCGGGACAGCCAACGGCAAGAAAAGCGACTTCTGCTGCTGCTGCTGCAGCTGCTGCTGCTGGCAGCAGCGGCGGGAGTTGTCTCCTGGCGCCGTTGTCAACCGCCCGCGTGAAACCGGTGGCCCACCGGTCGGGAGGCAAGGCGGCGGCGGTCGAGGTCTACCCGGACGGTCGTGCGAGCATCTCGGTGGGAAAGCGGTGGCTGATCGCTTCCGCGGACGGCGAGCGAGTGTGGGCCGGGGGCGGCGGCGTGACAGAGGCCACAAGCGGTGGCGGTAGGCGCACCTCCTTGTCCTTCTCGAGGGAGGCAGCGGCAGTCGGGGGCGGTCGGGTGTTGGGCACGATGGAGGCGTGCTTGGCGTCGGGAGACAATGACGATTTTGCCGACCCCGGCTTCAGCCTCGATGCGCTGCCGGCGGCTCTCCACCCGCTGTACAGGAGCCTCGCCGGCATCGTGGACGCCCTTCGGAGCAAGACGCCCAAGGTGGTGCTGCGTCGTGACCCACCGCCGCCGCCGCCGCCGCCGCCGCCGCCGCCGCCGCAAGCGGGAGTACCAGGCCGAGCTCCGCAACAGCGGGCCGAGGAGAAGCTCACTCTGTGCGCCTTGATGGAGAACCTGCCGGACCCTGACTTCGCCGCCGCCTTCGCCGACGGCGCCTCGCTATCCCTCTGGACCCGAAAGGGTGAGCTGCGGGTCGAGCTCCCGGGCGGCCGTGTCCGCAGCTGGGCGGTGGCGGCCGGCGGCGAGTGGCCGGGGGTTGCCACGATCCGCGGCGGCGGGGCTAGCGTTGCCGGCTACGGGCTGATTGCGGCGGCGGGAGGCCGTGAGCGGGCCGAGGGGAGCGGGAGCGGCAACGACGACAAGCAGGAGTGGCTGGGCTACGTGAGAGCGGGGTTTGACGGGTACTGTCGGTGCTTGGATGAGGAGGCGGCGGCGTACCGGCGTGGGGCGAGGTTTCCGGTCGAGATCGTCGAGCCTGCAGCCGTTGCCCCTCCCCCCCGAGCCGCCGTTGCGTCTTCCCCCGTCCCGTCATCGACAGGGGGAGCGGGTGTCGCGAGAAGGAGGGGGAGACCTGCGATCGACGGGTGCCTGGAGGAGGCGAAGGAAGGTAGTGGCGGCGGCAACAGCAACCAGGCATGCGGCTCCGGGGCGGGGAGCGGGGGCGCAGTTGGGCTGGGCGCGTGGTGGCGCGGAGAGGAAGATGGCGGCAGCAGCTCCAACACTTCGGACAGCTCGGTGTCCCCAAGGGACACGCGAAGAGTAGAAGAGCCCAGCAACCGAGGTGATGGTGGCGGCCTTGGTTGGCGCGAAGGCGACGGCAGCTGCAGGGGCGGCAGCGGCGGCGGGAGCGGCGGCGGCGGCATCTCCGTTGACAATGCCGGCAAGGACGGCGGTTGGCGCGATGCGAGCTCCGCCGGAAGCCTCATGTTCACTGAACGATGCAGCAGTGAGCTACAGCAGCAGCAATCGAGGCAGCACCAGCGCCCGGCCTGCTCCCCCGAGGGGTCCCAACAGCTATCGCCGGCACCCCCACTAATAGCGGCGGCCCGTCACCCTGGAGTCGTGCACGCGGCCGTGAGCAGGGCGGCCTCGCCGCCGCTCTTTGCACCGGCGGGCTTGGAGAGGGATGACACTGCTACGCCAGACGTCGCCGGACTAGCAACCTTCCTGCCGCTGCAGCGTCGGGGACAAGCTGTCTTCATGTACGGTGACGAGACGCTAGGAAGAGGAAGAGGAGGAGGAGGAACAGGTATGGGGGGGGGGCGCAGAGAAGGAGGAGGACGAGGAGGAGGAGGAGGAGGAGGAGGTGGGGGTGGGAGGGGAAGAAGAAGAAGCGAGGGAGGAGGAGGAGGAGGAGGAGAAGGGGGGCCGTGTCTCGACCCGAACCCATCAACCTGTTCGTTGTTCTCCGAGGGCAACCTAGCCCAAGCAGTCGGGGTGCGGCCAGCAGAAACAACGGTCGCCCCCGCTGGCGCGGCGCGGCGGGGCCGCGGGGGCAAGGCCGCTGCTGCTACCCCACCCCGTGACGAGGATCGCAGACCGTTACCCGACAGGGGGCGACGTGGTGGCGCCAGCATTCCCGGGGTGGGGGAGGCATTCAGGAACGGAGACGGCGACCTCGAGGTAAGGCGTTAGGGAGGCATTTATGTGAATACCGTCAACCTGTATTTTTTTCTCGCACGTTCTGCCGTCAGCTCAATTTTTTTGGGGGGTATTCCTCCTAGAAATGTCTTCTCTTCTGATTAGGTATTGTTGCTGCTGATGTGGGCTTCCAAGAGTTGATGACGCTGGTTGATGCTGGTCGATCGCGCGTCACTGTAGTTCTTGCCGGGCCTTTCGAGTCGCGAACGTGGGGCAAGCAATAGCGGCACCTTTTAACCGCTGCGATGACGACGACTCATGACGGATTCGAAGAAAGAGTCCTGCCTCCTGCTGTACATGCGCTTCAAGCCAGAAAGCACATTCCTTGCCTACCGGCCCGAAACGACAACCTGCTGGACACGGAGGGAGACAGCCAAACTCCCTCCTCCTCAGTCACAATGTAGAGGCTATCGTTCGAGATAATTATACCCCAATCGAAGAGATGTGATGAAATGTCCAACGGATCGTTTGTTGACAAAACCTATGGGGTTCACGCTGGACTTTGTTTGAGTTCCTTGAAGCCAAGCTATAAACCGATGTAGGACCTGTGGTGCCAGGCGGGACGAACTCAGAGCACTTCACAATATCCCCCAACCCCTTCCACGATGAACCGATCACTTGTAAAACTCTCCTCTCGCGGGAACAACGGCACGACCGGCAGGTGCTGTTCTGTGACGGTGTGATGGTCGTCGTGGACGCTAAGGCCAAGTGGATGCGGGTAGAACGACGCCAACAGCAGCAGCGCGGGAGCCTCCACCACTCCCCCCCACCCACCGGCAGCGGTCGCCCAACCCCCTCTACGACGACCCGAAGCGTAACGTACGACCTGGGGAAACACGCCGCTGGGCGGAGAACAGAAGCGCGCGGCATCGGTGGGAGTCGAGAGTTGGGTGAGCGCTTGCCCCGGGATGTGAAGAACAGGATGAAGGCGCTGCCGCGCTTCATTGCTATCCTGAAGGACGATGGTCCCCCGCCGGCAAGAGACGGGCGACAGAAAGACGGGGCTTCTGCAGAGCGGACCGGGGAGGTTAGCAGGCGGCGTCCTCGGCGTGGGGCGCGGCCATGATGTAGAGAACCGGAGGGGGTATGTGGTGTGGTGTTTTAGTATTTGTCATCGTGTCATCATAGCGTAGAGTATTTTGATCGTCAGTTGTACAGTTTTTTGTCGAGACAGGATGGCTCTAGTGTTTCGTTGATCAACCGGGAAAGTGTTAGTATTTCGTAAGTATTGTTAAAGTTCCAGACATGTCCCGTGTGTTGTTGCTGTGCCTTAATTTATCTTTTTCACCACTCTCGCTTGTTGTATGCATCAGGTAAAGTGCACAAGAGTAATGTTTGACGTGCCACATGCAACGTCGGCAACCGAGCTTTTTTTCCGGTTCTCTCTCGCTGATTGCTGAGTGACAGTTTCATTTCCATCGATAGCCGGGAGGTGGGTGGGCTGGCTGCCTCCGATTTTTTGTCTCCGTGACACACTCAAGGCAGACGTCCCGTTTGTTGGGGCTGTTTCCCCTTTCTTTTTTTTTTTGTATCGTTGTGCAAGTGACACGGATAAGTTTTTTTCTCTTCGGATTGAGTTTAGGGCCTCGAACGCCTTGATAAGTGTTTTTACACCCCCGAACCAACACTATCCCCTCCCTTCGTTCTCGGCAATGGGTCGTTTCGCCAATAGTACTTGCTTCGATAGCTTTAGGGGCGGTGTGTTTTTGGACGCGTTTCTACTGTATCGTGCGCGAGAGGACTCACCGTCTGTTGTAGGAGCAAACGTTACCAGGTCTAAAGTCTAAACTGCCTTGCGGTGGGGAGTTTGTTCCAACAAAGGAAGGTGTGGGCGAGACCGGCTTTAGGTCGTCGCTTGCCTAGCGCAGCCTACCGGGACTGGAAACATCGAACGACGAACTGCTGTTGGATGTATGCCTCGGAAGCCACCGCTTCTGCTCATGTTTGCTGCGGTTATCACTTCACGTGCTTTTCGTGGCAAACTTACTTTCATCTCTTCTCTTGTTGCCACAGCATGTTTCCATTCCATTTCCCGCCCCAAGTGGTGTGGCGCAACAAAAAAGAAATCGATGCTGTTAGGTGTCGGTGTCTTAACCATCGAGGAATGTTCGGTAGCACCTGCTACATGCACGAACAGGATCAAAACTCAAAAATCAGGGTTCTAGAAAAAACTGTGCAAGTCGCCCCCTCGGCCTCCCCTCCCCGCACAAGGCTCCTCGGTGCCTTTTACCTAGCTGACGATATCGCAAACAAGTACATACATCGCACAACGACAGACAATATTGAAGACAACGAGACTCCACTACGCCCCCACGTTAACAGCAGGGGCAACAGGCTTGTCTTAGCTGGGAGACAATCAGGACGAGAGACGAAGCTCGCGGTGCGAGCCGTTTCTGGCGTCGGGCACCACATCCAGACTAGAGCAGGAACTAGTCGCGCGACACACGACGCGAAACAAAACATCTTGCATGCCCACCCCCCTATCCCGCACGCCTCCATGCAAATGGTACTGGCCAATGCTATCTACCTCTGTACCATGTCGCGCGAGGTTCACAAGAGAAGAGCAGTACAAAGGCAAACGCATATGATTTCCACAACACATTTCATCCTGGACTTTCGTTTCGCGAAGGGAGATGGATAACGGTACACTGAATCTCCTACAGCAGCACTTCCCACACAACAAAGGCAAAAATGCTCGAACAGTCCAGGTTTGCCGCCATCCATCCCACGTTGCTCCCACCGGCGGCGCTCACAAGAACCACCACCTCCGTTCGGTCTTCGTCCATGTATGACGCTGCCATAGCGTCGATACCACCACAACACGTTTGATTTTGCGTCCGATGGCAGCTTCCGCCTCAAAAACAAAATAAGCAAAAACCGTCAAGCTGCACGGCTATTTAGCAGCGTACCGTCGTCTTTTTTTTTTTTTTCCATCGTCCTGCCGGGGGACCGATCTCTTCAACACCCAGGGGGGGCTGCGTACCTCTCACGATACCCATCACCCGCGCGGGCATGCTGCTATACTACTCCCGCCACACCGACCGGCAGCTGTGGACACGGCACAAAAAAAAAAAAAAAAGAACGGAAGAGTCCGGCCTCATTGCTGTGCCCTACCGTAACACGACAACGCGGAAGTCGGTCCAACTGAATTCCTTGATCTGGGTCGTTTCCGATCCACGCGAAACACTTTCGAGGGCAGAAAACATATTTCATCGTGTGGTGGCCGTGAAAAAAGTCCACCACAAGAGGATCAAGCGACCCAGCAGCAAGAAGTCGAGAAGCAAAAAAAGTTCACGAAAAAACATATTTTATCCTCTTCGACAAATCACGGTGGTGCCGCGTCACGTCCTTTTCTCAACACCTGGGCAGGAAGAACCGAAGATCGACTCGCAGAATCCAACGAGCCGTATTGATCTTGCAGCGCCCCCGCCCCCACTTTTCCCCCCAACGCGGCGGCGGCATCGGGGTCGCCCCTGCCCTCCAGGAACACGTCAAGCTCGTTCGCCAGGTCACCCGTGTGCAGCCACTCCTGCTGGTAGAATATCGTGCCGTCCTGGGCGATCGCCGTAGCCGGCCTGGCCCCGATACCGTAGGAGCACCAGAGCGGGTTGATCAGGTCGCTGCGGCGGTGCAGGCGGCGGCACGTAACAACGACAGTGGTGAGCGTGAGAGCGCATCGGGAAGCCGTAGGAGAAACAGTTGTCATCCACACGTGCACACACACCACACACTCGCTCCCGCGCGTTTTTTTCTGTTTTTTTCCCGCCCGTACTCGTGCCATTTTCGCTCATCAGCAGCCAAGCAAGTTTAGGTGGCGATGCTCGCGAGAGAACACACGGACGCACGAGGCCCCCCGTACACACACGACTCTCAACTATTCTGTCGCATAACAGAGAGGCACAGTAGGGCACCGGGGAGGAGATGCTTGAATAGAGCAGAAACTGCGAGGGGTGCCTTTCTGACAAAACCGGATGGTGACCGAACAAAAAAACGAAAAAAACAGTCAGGAAACTCAATCACAAGTCAAACACCACAGAATAGCGAGAAAACTCCGATCACAAACACCACAGCAGGTCACAAGTCAGTCCTTTCGGTATATGCACACCTGTAGGGGTTCCCTGGCATGTAGTCCGGAATGATCGCCTGTGGCATTTACGGGGGTGGGAGGGCGTGTCGAGGCGAACGGGTTACGCGTAGTGTTGTAGGGTTACATGGTATGTGAGAAAAATCGTCTCTGAAAGGCATTGCCCATGGCTCGGACGTTGCTGCCCTTGGACCAAAGAGCTGGGTTATATCGCCTATTCCTAGGAACATCCAGATCCATCCCTTCCCGAGCACGTGCGCGAGCCAACAGATACACCTCCAGGGACCCTTGGTTTCACCCACTGGCACAGCCGTCATTTCATTGGTCAGACGGCTAGCGCGGCGGTCGAAACTAACGAACAAAGGCTCACACCGCACTAGTCTGACGTCATTTCGTTTGTCGGCCGGCTAAAAAGCGCGGCGGTCGAAACTGATGAACAAAAGCACACACACGCACACACAGGATGCAAACCTGTTCCGGGTGCACCAGGTCCTTGACCCTGTCCACCATGGCCAACCGCTGCTCGTAGGACTTGGGCTGAGGCACCGTGCTCCAGTAGCTGTTCACCACCACACCGTGGTCGAAGTTGGTGGCCGGTGCGGTCGGGTGCGGCTCTGGCCCGTACAAGTGCACGAAGGTCACGCGGTCCTTGTACGTCTCCACCTGTTCGCGGAATGATTCGCAGGGGCGACCGCGGCCGGGGGGGGGGTAACAATGTAAAAGCATGCCGTAGTCGGGGGGGCATAGACCTTGCATTCCTTGATGCCGGGGAGTGGGTGCGTGTGTGTGTGAATAGGTGTCTTGCCTGTAACTTTCGTGTGTTGGATTGATGAAAAAGAAGGTAAGGAAGACCGCGCCGTGAAATGCAGGGCCCCATGTCTAATATCGTCGGCCTTCTGCCGTCAAGAAACTGGGGTATGGTTTGTTGGATCGCTTTCTTTGCAAAACACGAGTCTCGCAGCAGAGCCTAGGCTTGCTTGGGCAAGTATTGTACTATGCATACATCAAAGGGGTACTGGTGTAGAGCCTTGGGGCCTTGGGGCCTCCTTGCGACTTTCAACCTGCGACGCTCGTGACCCCAGGCTGTCCGCTTCCCTAGATTTACCGATACACGCGCGTTGCCTCCACCATGTGATTGCGTTTTCGCTCACCTAGCCCACCCTGGCGGGGACGTCATTCGAAGATTGACAGGCAGCAATACAGTATCCATCTGGAGAAAGAAAAACCTAAACCATCGTATGACTGTCGAGGGTATTTAGTACACGGACCCTTGCAGGCCCTTCCCACACCTCTCTACGTAAGAGCTGCCAGCGAGAGGAAGGCCCTCCCTCCCTTCTGTGACTGGTGTACCGGGTGACTCCGGCGTTCATCGCGAACAAAACGTTAAATCAGAAAAGCATGTGCGTGTCGGCCCCCAAGACCCCCAATCCTACGAGGGTCTCCGATCTCACGTGTCTCTGTTCCGCAGGAAATCCGACAAACTGTACTCGACGACACGCAGTACAAAACCGGGAGACAGCAAAGTAGCCAGAAGTGCACATTGTAGGGCTGGGTCTGTCTTTGCTCTCGACAGGAACCCCGACACAGTGATCAGGCACATGCAGCAGCTTACACAGCCGGTAGAGCCATGTGCACACGTGTAGGAGGATAGGTCTATCTTTTGTTCGCGGGAAACTCGGTTCCCCCCAAAGAAGTCGCTTATCGACGCTGATGATTCCGCCGCGGTTGCTGGGGGAAGGCGGTTAGGTCTGCCGGGGCGCCTCCTGAAAACTCCACTCCCACGGCATCTGCGACCCGCCAAAAGAAAACTTTCAGGGCAGCTACCCAAGGTAAGGTCCTGCTTCGCCAAGTCAGGTGTTGGTGGCTTGTCGACTATCATACTCGACAGCCATTAACGCCAGACCTGGCGACACAGGACCTCGTCCTGTGGAAAGTACTATGAAACTTTTCTTTAGGCGGGCCACAGACACCGCGGTAGCGGAGGCTCCAGCAGACGCTGCGGCCGAACCAATCGCCTTCCCCCAGCAACCGCTGGTGGTATAATCGCCGGCGGCGATAGACAATTTCTTCGGGGAGAACCGCGCCGGAGCCGACGGGTCCACCATCCCCGTCGTATTGGTGAAGGGGTTGCTCATGCACTGGCGAGATGGGGCAGATCTTCGGCGCCCGCATTTATTGCTGCTGCAGCTGCTGCTGCAGGTTGGGTAAGATGGGGAGGTGCACCCGCGGCAGCGCGCGCTGTAAGTTCTGCGGTGAGGCGGCCGAGGGCGGCTTCGGCTTTGTACGGAGGGCCGTACCGAGACAGATCGATGTGTGAATCTTACGCATAGGGGTCGACGCTCTTCTTGGTGAGGGGCAGCGTGTTTGCGGGGGTTGCGGGCCCTGTCTAGGCCCCGCATAAACTCGTCGAACTCGAGAGACAGCGGAGGCCAGGAGCTGATTGACCGACCGATTCCGCGACAACAACCGTAGATTACCCCACCACGAAAAAATAAAACGGGGAAGAGGAGAGCGTCGCCCAAGAGGCGTCAACAGCAACCAAGCGTGGTAGCGGGTAACTGCTACGGTGACGGGGAACTCAACAGCTTCGAACCCTCTCGGCAGCATCTGGACAAGCGGTGTGCCCCCGCGAAAACCCGTGCCTGGAGACTCGCAATAGAACACTCCCCCCACGGTTGGTTGGCATCATACAAATACCCGCGGCAAGAAGGCAATAAATAAAAACAACAAACAATAGTCTCAACGCTGCTACTGCTGCTGTGTGTTTTGTAACTCTTTGTTTAGAGAAGGACACATACTTCATCACACGGCTCCTCGCCGCCCCAAGGGTTCAAACAACGCCCCCCCCCCCTCCCTCTCTCGCTACAGCAGTACTCTCGCTACACTCACCAAGTCGTACTCGTCTCTGTACCCGCACTTGTCCCATGGAGGGCTCGGGGGCTGGTCGCCCATCCCCTGAAATGCCGGGCACGTGAACATTCCCCAGATCAGCACCACCGGCTTCCCCGCGTCGCCGCCGACCCCCTCCAGGTGCTCGCGCAGATTCCACGGCTCCCCCGCGGGGTAGTCGTGCGAGGTGAAGTCGATCGCGCCGCTCCCGGTCTCGAGGAGAAGCTTGGGGGACTGCCCGTACATCCCAATCATGGATCTGGCACGCGTTGTTGTATGCATGCAACAGCAGCAGTGGTATGTGTTTGCTTTTTTGAACGATGCTCTCGCTTGCAAACGTCGTGTTTGTTCGACGATTGATGTTCGAGTATTCCGCGGGTGAGAATTGAACAACCCCATCCTCACTGCTGCTATTTAGGGGCGAAGCCGTGACCTTTTTCTCGCCTCGCTCCGGAGGAGGAAACAGCTCTACACGGAAACCTCAGCCTCTTCCAACGCGATACAGGGTGCCAAACTTGCGTACAATTCTTTCAATTATTTCCGTCTAGCGATAAAAGCGCACCTCCACGTTCGGATTTACGTACCCATTCAGCCCCGTGAGGGTTTTTCTGATCAAAACCAACTTTGGCTACTCGCAAGAACAACAATCGATTGTTGTTCTTGCGAGTAGCCAAAGTTGGTTTTGATCAGAAAAACCCAAGGGTGTGTTCGGTAGGGTACGTACCGGGGTCCACCGCCGGTATTTCCACCGTTATATACTGTACCATACCGGGCGTCTCGATATCTCGGTACCATTCGGCACAGGTTCCATTCCTACCGAAAATTTCGGTACGCCTCGGTGGCCTACCCAGCGTAACCGTACCCGACCGAACACCCTGTTGACAAAATTGTGTCATGTACGCTCAATGTACATCCATGACAGACCGGGCACGACATGTATCATCGACCGAGGGGTCTTCGCCCACAGCTCCTCGCCCACCTTTGTCTGTCGAAGTTGTTGCTGGGGAAATCGAAGCAGTTGCCCGTTAGCTCAGACTCCGGCCTCAAGTTGACCGCCGCTGATGATGCGTCGGCTGCTGGTGCTGCTGCTGCTGCTGCACTAACGGCAGAGGCCAGCACCAGAGCTTTCATGGCCATTGTTGTGTGTGAAGAGCGGCCCAGAGGCCACGCCCCCTCCGCTGCTGTGAAAACCGTCTCCCTCCCCCCCCCCGTTATAGCGGGTACCTGGCACTGACCGTTTCACGCAATCGCCCAACAGCTCGCCTGCAGCTCGTCACTGTTTTTGCTTTTTTGTGTCGATCCGTGGTGGCGTACCCACTGCGGCTGTACATAGGCCATTCGCCATGGAGGGCGCAGTCGACAAGGATAGATAGAAAGCACGACAGAACGAGCAATTAAGGCACAGCAGGAGGAAGAACCAGGCATGATTGTATCAGATCGATACCACGCACCCTACTAAGGGGGACACGGCTTCGACCGCCATCGATGCTAAGCTTTGGCCAAGCTCTGAAGCAACACACAAGGGCGAAAACTGCGCGTGGTTTGAGACAACGGAAACGCAAACGTCACGCGACTCCTGCCTCGCGATAAACCCTGATTCTCTCGTCATCTATTGCCCCCCGCGGGTGACCAACCAGCATACTTTAATATCAGATGCGGGCAACGCTTCAGCGCTGTTGCGTACCCGCGATGTCCTTCTCGCCTCCCTGCTCCCCGAACCGAGATCGCGAGACGCAAGTCGTTTATGCTGCTTTTGCTTTTGGTATATAGGTTCCACACACCTCGGTTAGACGACCCTGTAGAGTTCCTCCGGCAGACTGGTTCGACGGTGCCGTCAGGTGCTCGAGGTTTGTTGTTTTACCATCCGGGCGCTGGGCAAGTGCCGACGCATAGCAGGCAAAGGGTCGCTCTTGTCCGCCGTAACTTGTCTCTTGTTGTAATCTACGATCACTCCCGGTCAGATCTACGAAAAAATCCAGAAATTTCCAAGCACATAGATCACTGCACTGCTGTTGCGCCGAGACGCGACTCGAGCGAAGCAGTGTTCTTCCGTTGTGGAGTGTTGTAGTTGGCTACAATGCGGATGATATTTTAGGTCGTCATCCTCATGTAGGTGTCGCGGCTTATGGGCATGCCCCACGACGAATAAGTAACACAACCAACCAAAGAAAAAACCGAGGAAGCCCCATTTTCACAGCAGTAGAATGTAAACATACCCTCAGAAAGACGACCCGTTCGTGATACTCTGTATAACCACAGCAGTCGAAAGGGGCGCTGACGTCTCTGCAGTGAGTGGAGGGAATTATTTATTTGGGTGCGCAAGTGCTGTGGACCAAGAAAATGAATTGTCTGGCAGTTTGGGTCACGTACGAATTGTTGCTGTTGTTAGACGTACTCACAGCATCGACAGATTATAAATGGATGGAGCGGGGAGTTTGGGGGTTCACCAGTTGCTTTGGATTCGATTTGAGATCTCGACTTGATGCGACCAACTTTGCCGCATATTACAGGATTGAGGGTGGGGCTACATGTGTGTCTACAACGGATATGGTGATTTTGTGTTGTGGCTTGTCACTTGTTTTTTTCTTTCCTCTTTTTCCTCCTTGCTGTGTGCAATCAAGTCCTTTTTCCCCGGCTATCACGCTGCCACGGCAATAACGCCTTCCGGACATCCACGTCCTTATTTATACCTTTACACCACGACCATCACGTCACCAGGCTTCCACGCCGCATCCAGAGATACCATACCCGAGCTATCACGCTCCATCCCAAAATAGAAGACTGTCACGCCCATCATTGTTCCTACACTGTACCGTTGGCGGCTACCGCGCCGCTGGGACCCCGCGCGCCAAGGCACCGACGCACAAAGCTACTCAACAGGTGTTGTCCTTGGCCAGCTTGATTTTTGTGTTTTCATCGTTCACAAAAACACGTGTGAAGACTATTCCACTCGGTTTCAACAAACCGAAATCCAAGCCACGACAGCCACCAGCCACAACAACACAGGCAGCGAACGAAGAGTACAGCAGCAAGATAGGCAATCACGACCAAATCCTAGCGACGGTCATCATGTTCGTCCCCAAGCCCCCACAACTCCTCCTCACAAGCCAAGACACCTGCCGTATCGTACACTGTCAACTTTTGCTCCTTTCTTCGCCGGCAAGACAAGAATGAGCATCATGCCCACAACCCCTCATGCCTTGCTCGAGTGCGTTCTCCTAGTGCGACTCATTCTTCGGCAACGGCGCACCCGCCCACCACCCAGACGAAAAAACACAGCAGGGGAACCTACAAACTTATCCTAGACTTTTGCCCATGTGTCTTGTTTCTGAACGAAGAAACACAACAGACGAACTGCACGTGGTGATCAACAAGGCCAGGCACAAGGGCCACCATACTGGCAAGACAGCAAAATAGAAAAAAGGACAGCCATTGACAGCGACGAAAATCGCGCTCGCACTCCACCCGCTACCCGCCACCGCGGGACGCCTCCTCCTGTATGGATTATCACCGTCGCTACGGAGCCCCGGCGTATCACGCGGCCTGCTTCTGCCCCCCCCCCCCCCCCCCCCCCCCCNCCCCCCCCCCCCCCTCCTCCTTCCTGTGGCTTGATCGGGAGCTCAGAGCTCGTACCGGCCAATAACGCCAGCCAGGCCGTTGTACACGAGCGTGTTGTCCAGAGGGGTGTATTGGCGAGTGATGGCCTACGCGCGGCACAAGGGCACACAAGGGTGGGGGGGTGCGTACTCATGTCAACGAATGGGAGGTGGGTGCAAGGCGAGGCCCAACGCCAAAACGAGGGAGCAAAATCTTCGACTAAACTTCAAGAAAGAAGGCGTACACAAACTAGTTCACGCTGCCGAGCGGAGGGGGGTAGTCGGCTACTACAGCAGTACTACTACTTCCAAGTCAGAAGCAACGATGTGCGATTGACTGCAGTTTGCTTGACACACGGCTGACTGCGGATCTCGAAAGCTCAACTGCTTATCGTACCGAGCTTGCCAAATTCAGGGGCGTCCAGCGAGATGAAGGCGAACAAGGGCGACGGGGGACGTGCAATATCGACGACACGGCCAAGACCCACGTTTTCGACACACACGCTGAAACCTTTCGTCTCGAACGGGAACGGGTAAAAGACTAACAAGAGACTGGTACAAAAGAACTTGGCGTTTGTTCTATTTTCATTTTTCGTCCAACCTGCTCTCGGTTTCGCCTTCTTCTTCGTTGTTTGGGTCAGTCATCGAACGATGCCACAGCCGGAATAATTAAAAAAAAATCCAAGAAAAAAACTTTGTCGTGCTTGGAGCCTTCTCCGCGCACACGAGCAGCAACAACTACCATGATAATGATGGCTGTTGCTTTACCTTGACTGCCTCTTGGCTGCCGATCCCGCCCAAAACCGAGGCCACGTTGTGAAGCTCCGAGGCGCCATATCGCGCGCTGCCGCAAGCAACGGCAACGGCATGCAGTCATACATTGGGGGTGGGAGTCAGGGGGCACAAAAGATTCGTGTGGGGGGGGGGCGGGGGGGGACGATGTTTCCATACTCCTCCCGGAACTCTTGAGCTCTTGATGGCTCGGAACGTGCTGACGGAGTCACTAAATGAATTTCCTCCAACGCTAAGAAATGCGTGTGAACGTGATGCCTCTGAGTCGCAAGTTTCAAAACGTGATGCCTCTGTGGATCGGAGCGAGAAAACACGTCGCCTTTCGAAGGGTGATCGCACGATATCTCGCTCCACGTGAACGGGTAAGTTGAGACACAGGACGCAAGTAACGGCTATATATACACCGCCAGGCATGAACAACATTTCGTGCATTGTGTGGAGATGAAAGAGATGAACGAGAGGGGGTCAGCGATAACACACCACATCGTTTTTGTTCGTGTATGACGGCGTGCTTGATGGTGCTTGATGACTTTTGTTGTTGGGCCTTGTACAAGCCCGCTCTTGCCCCCTTATTCAGTCAATCCTACTCTTTCTCTGTACCTTGTCTCTGTCTCCCTGCCTCTGTTCTGCCTTTCTGCCTCCTCCCCCCCCCCCCCC